TTTCATGTAATGCTGCCACATTCCCATTACACAACTCCATTAACTGCTCCTTATTCCCATTTACTTGGTTTAATAATAATTATAATAATAATATTATAACATTGCCTCCTTTAAACCAAGTTGGATATATTGGTCATCCCAATTTCCTTCTTCAACTTGAGAAATGTCTCTGTCTTCAGCGGCTTCGTAAAGATATCTGCAACTTGACATTCACTTGAACAATACTCAATGTTGATTTGTTTTTCAACAACCAACTCTCTGATTTTGTGATACTTGATATCAATGTGTTTGCTGCGACCATGAAAGACTGGATTTTTGGACAACGAAATTGCTGACTTGTTGTCACAAAAAATAGTTGTAGGTGCTTCCTGCTCGTGTTGTAGGAACTCCAAAATTCTCCTCAACCAAACTGCTTGAGTAGCACAGTTTGCTGCTGCAATATATTCTGCTTCTGCGGTTGAAAGTGCTACAATCTGCTGCTTCTTTGAAGACTAAGAAAATATGGTTGAACCAAGATAGAAGGCATATCCTGATGTGCTTTTTCTGGTCTCAATATCTCCAGCCCAATCACTGTCTGTGTACCCAACAAGTTTCACATCTTCATTAGTGGAGTAAAAAATTCCATCATTACTCGTACCTTTCACATATCTCAGAATTCGCTTTGCTGCAGCCCAATGTGATTCTTTTGGTTCCTCCATGAATCTGCTAAGTATTCCAACTCCAAAAGAAATATCCGGCCTTGTTGTCACCAGATACCTCAAACTCCCAATTAAGCTTTTATAAGCTGTAACATTCACATTCTTACCACATTCATCTTTGGACACCTTTAACTTTTCAGCTAACGGCGTTGAAACTGGTTTGGAGTTTTCCATTTTGAACTTTTTCAAAATATCAGCAGCATACTTCTTCTGTGAAATAAAGATTCCACCATCTATCTGAACAACCTCAAGGCCAAGAAAGTAAGGCATAAGGCCTATATCGGTCATTTCAAACCTCTTAATGAGTGCCTCTCTGAATTCTAAGATTAGCTTCAAGTTATTTCCAGTAAAAACCAAATCATCAACATACAGACAGATTAGAACAATATCACCAGAATCCGTGCATTTGACATACAAAGTGTGCTCATGAGGACATCTCGTAAACCCACTTTCAACAAAATATGAGCCAATGCAACCATACCACGCCCTAGGCGCTTGCTTTAAGCCATATAAGGCTTTTCTCAACCTGTACACTTTATGTTCCTCCCCTTTCTTCAGAAATCGTGCAGGTTGCTCAACATATATTTCTTCTTCAAGAAAACCATTCAGAAAAGCAGACTTAACATCCATTTGATGCAATTTCCAATCATTTTGAGCAGCAAGAGAAATAACCATTCGAACTGTATCAAGTCTACTTACAGAAGCTAAAACCTCAAAATAATCAATACCTGGTTTCTGCTTGTAACCCTTTGCTACTAACCGTGCCTTAAAACGATCAATTTCTCCATTTGACTTGTACTTCGTTATGTAAACTCACTTCACTCCAATTGGCTTCTTTCCAGGAGGTAAATATGTTAACTCCCAGGTACCATTCTTTTCAATGGCACGTATCTCCTCATCCATCGCCTTAAGCCAATGAGTTTCTATAGCAGCCTCCTCAAAAGTTAAAGGATCACAATCTGCAAAGAGAGCAAATTGAACAATCTCTTCATCAGACAGGTCATTATCATGACCCAAAATATAATCTTGCAAGCGAGCTGGTAAGTGGCGCTCGCGCTGAGATCGCCGAACTGACGACTCTGGCTGTGAAGGAGACTGGACATTTTCTGGAATCGGTTGCTCTTCAACAATATTCTCAACAGCAGGAATCACAACTGAACTTTCATCTTTAGCTAACCAATCCCAGGCACCATATTCATCAAAAGTGACATCACGACTTATAACAACCACTGCTGGAAATCTGCATTTTTCCGACCACCAAAAAGTGGTCGGAAAAGGGGCATTTTTGGTCGGAAATGCATTTTCCGACCAACTTAGCGGTGCATTTCCGACCAACTTAGCGACCACTTTATGGATTCGGAAAAAGTGCCCTAGCTATTACCGACAACTAGTCAAGTTGGTCAGAAATACCGACTTTGTTTTGAGGACGTCGAAACTAATGGTTGTCGGATAAGGAGAGCATATTTCCTATCACTGGTGGTCGGTAATTGGTCAGAATTACCATCCACCGGTGGTCGGTAAGATTTACAAAGAAAAAATTAAAATTTGTATTGCCGACCACTAGGGTGGTCGGTAAGATTTACTAACAAAAAAAATAAAATTTAAAATTCTGCAAATATCAAATGAATTTTGACCTAGTACAATTGAAATTCAAATTTCAGCACTACAATATTAAATTTTACAATACAATTAACAATTTAGGGAAATCAAACATTAGTCAATCATTTAAATCAAGGTGTAGCAATTGTTTCACCATAAAAAATACAATTGTCAAAATATTAGCTAAACATGCATGCTAATAAGGTTTTGTAGCAATTCAGCATCCAAAATACATTTTCAAAACATTCAAATAATGCACTATCTAATATTGATTAGAGTTGGGGATAATGTATTATCATCGGACTGATCGGAGGGGGGCTGTGTATCGTCATGCCACCTTCCTTCAACCACACTGTTATTTCTGTCATTTCTGGTTGTTTTTGCTTCCAAGTCATCACTGTTTCCTGAGGAAAAAAAAAGAAGCCTAATGAGAAGGAGCCATCAGGAATGGAGTACGGGTACTGATGTATTTGCCTGCCAAAATAATTAATGCATCATGTAAAACCACACTGATAATTCCATAATCCATAGGTGAAATTATGGCAACCATCCATGAATGTATTCTTTCTACCACTTTAGAACAGCCAAACAATTACAAGCTCAAAAACTGAATACGGTTAATTAAGTCAATATTCATTATATATAAAACATACCTCTTTAATCGTTGATTTAGCAGGAACCCCAAGAACTGCTGCTCCAACAAGCCAACCATCCTTTATGACCTGCAAAGAAATCCACAAAATTGAGAAACACTAAAAAGGCTTCCATTTCAATTCTCAAATGGAAGACATAGGAAGATGAGAAATTACACAATCCATATAACTTTAAGTAATTCCCTCAAATACAAAACAAAAAGAGATCAAAACAGAATCCATTAGGCAGGATGTAGAATGAAATTGATGTGGAAGTAATTCGAACAACATAATGGGACCTCTGTAACATTAGGCAGGATGTAGAATGAAATACCTGAATCATTTGGCAAATTATGCTGTGCATACAATATAATTAACAATATAGCAAGTAGGAATTTAAACATACGTGTTAGGATATCTCCTGAAGATGTCTTTGATAACTATAATAGCTTAATGGACAACATAATTTACTTTAATCTTGATCAATTCAAGCAAGACACTGATACAACGCTCGGCAGCCCTCACTAACTTGATGACACATCGTCCAATAGCACGAACAGCCCTCCTGACAAAATCAACTTCAGTAGCATATTCCTTGAACTCCAAGAGAACCTGCAAAAGTGCTTTCTTTGAGACATAATGCCATAGGACTAAAAAACTTACAAGCAAAAGACAAATTAATTGATCCAATGTAGGTTTACCTAATCAATGTTTTGGTCTGATGCAAGCTTTATCATGATTTCTAACTTTTCCATCTTCACATAAATAGGATCATTGTACTTACAAAAGAACACCTAACACAAAAAGAAAAAGATGTTTAAAGTAGCCCTTTCAATTCCTGTAAACGTTAGAGGGTTGTGCATGGTGCATTTATCTAAGGATGGAAAGATACTGCTGCTTAAAGTAAATCACATCTTAGAACCTTAATTTCATGGGCAAGAATTGTAGGTCGCTTTTGTACAATGAGATTTATGTTCCTTAATGCAACATACTGAATCTCGGGTTCTGAAGAAAGTAATGTAACTAGAGGAGGAGCCATTTTTTACAAAGATGCCGAACAACATCAGTGCTGGTGATGAGTTCCATCTGTTGAAGGATCATCTGCCAAAAACATTAAATAAAAAAGGGTGGAATGAGCAAACATATCACCTTTTTTACCAAGGAAATACAGATGGGGTCAGTATGAATAACTAAGGAAACATATTCCATAAAAGTCAATTCCACTTTGGTCCTTGGACTATATTGGCAGTTCAGTTAATTGTCCCCAAGTTCAAAAATTGACAAGAACAGTCCTTATACTACTAAAAATTGGAAAGAACTTTATTGTCCAATTTCTAATTTTAAAGGCTAGGGTTTCATTTCTGTCAAACTTTCAGTAGAGTGCTAGTCCCCAACAATTGAAAACTGGACAAAAATGATCCTACAAGGCTACAAGGGTTTCTGCTAGAATGCCAACAGAGGGACTATTTCTGCCCAATTTCTATCAATTGAGGGGTCATTCTTGTCAATTTTTTAACTCAATGGCGAAAAAAGGAATTGCCATCACAATGATCACATACAAGGGATGAAAAGTGACTTACCTTTATTTCATAATAAATGTTGAATTAGTGAAATTGGAAAGCTTTCTATTTTCATACTTCTATCCACACATCATACATGAAAGGGCAGAACTAGGATGCAAACATCAATAAGAATAGCATAGTGAATAAATCATGTATATATGAACTATGAAGACAGTGTATGACTGGTGATTTCAAAAATGGGTCTACTACTGTTCTCTTGAATTTCTGCAAGTGCTGCAACAGCATTTGCAACAACTATAGGATTATTTTCAGATATCAAATCAGTGAGAGCATCCAGGAAACCTCTGTCCTCAACAAGCTCAGCATTTATGTCATAAAGTTTAGCAACACAGTAGTTTTCAAATAGATTATGAATTACACAGATTTAGACATAGTATGATAATAATGAAATTGTGGTTGGCTTACATATTTTTTGATATGGGGTTATAGAGTAGTAAGCCATAAAGCCCAAGAACATACTACAATTCAGCAACAATAAGATTACTAGAGCAAGAAACTACACTAAGAACTAAACTACATGGCAATTCATCACAATATCAGTAGTATATATAAAATATGGATAACAATTAGAATCAAAGAAAGGCCTGCTTCACCAACCTGGAAGGCCGAGCATCGTTCACCTCTGGCTTCCTCCAACTATCTCTATCTGTCTTTTCCTAAGGAGAGCAAGAACGACCGTTTTGGCTTGCTGATTCCAAAGCCCTTCTTTATGAATGAAGAACCATCAACAAAGTAAACCATGATGGCCTGAGAAATAAAGCCTACAAGAGATTGGAAATTAAAGTAAACCACTATAAAGAATAACTACTGTGAGAACCCCCTATGGAAGAATACTCTATTTCATCAAAGTAACTTTCCAAAAGAGATCGAGTCAATGACTTAAAATTTTTTACTCTTGCCGACATTCTCTAACTGGTACTTGACTCAAACCGCTTGCCTAAACCATGCAAGGGTTTCATTAGAATTCAAGATTCCCTTCCCTTTGTATCCTATAACTTACTTGTGGTTCTACAGATGCAGATGCATTTAAGTGTACTGAAAAATTAAACTACTTTAACTTAAATATTGGCACCTAAGAAGCACAAATTTCCTAGGAGCAAGGCCATAATAATCTTTAGAGTAATTCAGTCTAAAATCAGTATGTTCAATGTATACAATCTTGGAAAAGGGAACCTCTGAAATGCTATTTTGTGTGTGGAAATGAGGAGAGGGGCAGGAGAAAGGGATAGACCTCCACTTCTCTGGGTTCTGGTAATTTTTCATGTGCAATAAGAGATACACCACTTTTGTCCTGCAAGATTAGAGAATGTTCAATTTAGAAAATAATTCACAGCAATCTAGTAAAATATTAATGCATAATGAGTGGGAAGGGAGTATGGAGGACTAAATTAAAACTTGCAGGATTTAGAAGCAAGAGTGGCTAGCTGCCAGCTCAAACTCAATCCTTAAAATAGGAGCAAAAGAACAGGTATTTTAACGGAAGCCTCACCGTATGTGCATGCAAATCATATGCAGATCTAACAACAATACCAACACATTCTATCCAGCCATAAGAACAGTCAATTTCAGCATCCCAACAGTCTGCATGTGCCATCTCATTTTGAAGATGTTGACGGAACCGCAATCGATCTCTGTCAATACCAAGATGAGTAAGAAAGAGATACACTCTCCCAATGAAATATCCTAGTGTTTCATTGTTAACAATGCCCTGTGCAACAGAGTGATTAAACAATGTTAGTGTTGAGAACAAAACTAAAATACCACTCTCTCTAACCAGAACTATAGAGAAACAAGATTGACACTACTGACCAACCTGGGCAACTGCTTCACCAAGTGGTATTCTCCTTGCAGAGCATCCAGACACCTGATCCTCTCTTGGGAACATCAGAAACTCCAATTTTGGAACATCAAAAAATTTCGGATGAGACTTGTCCTCTGGATCCACATAGTGCTTAATCTCAGCTAGTGTAAATTCACGGACTCTTAAGAGGCCTTGTCGTGAGGAGATCTGCAATTTTAATTATTATTATTATAATCATTGCCAACGCAGAATAAAGAAAAAATAGGGGAAGCAACAGGAATTCAGGAAATGGCATTTGTTGAATTAATTTCATTAATAAATACTATAATTGAATATTCACAAAGAATTGAATACTTTAAAGCTTCTACAAATATTAAGTTGCATTTATTTCAATTCTCCAGTTTTCCTTTCTCTGATTTTCCATTCTCAATTCTCTGTTTCCAAATTGGATAAATATACAAGTAAACGCATTTTCCATTTTCCTTTCCCCGGTTATCAATTCTCCCCCCAAGAAATGGTGAATTTCTCAAGTTAATAAATGCACCTTAATCTCACATAATTATGTATACTACTATACTGCTATATGCAAATGTTTGATAATCAAAGAACTCATCTACATTGTTCTTTCTTTTTTATGTTCTTTTCGTCAAAGCAAATACAGAATAAAAAGGAGCAACCATTATAGCAATTCACTGCAACAATATAAAAACAATCTTTTCAGATTTTAATAACAAATTTCATGTTACCGCATTGTATAGAGAGAGGAGCCAACTCAAGTGCAAACCATTCCTAAAGTATAAACTACAAACACATCTTAACTGTTAAAAGTAAAATTCACCTAGAACATATTCATTATCTACATTTTTATAGCATATATATAATCCTCATCTTTTTATAGCAAAATGTATGTATCAATACAAATAGAAAGTCATACATATTGTTTTCTGGATTCTCTATCGTAGATAGCCTGCCTGAATGCTTGATAGATCTAGAAGCTAAGGAGATACTTTCCCCAATTCGAAGTGAAGGCCAATGCCCTACTTATTTTGAATCAGATTCGAAGCTTCGTTCTTTTATATCTCCCTGATTATATTAAAAGTAACTAAAAATTATAGATTATAAATAAAGAACCCTAACCATTACGTCGTCGATCGAGTAGAAGAGCGCTAAGGAGGAGAAGGCGTATTCGATGGAGCAGAAGAGCAAGGGAGGAGAAGGTGTCGTCCTTCGCGAAAAAGAACTGGAGAGGAGAATGTTTAAATATGTGATTGAGGAGAAGAGGCAAGGAGGAGAAGGTTGAATTGAAATCTGCGATTGAGGAGGAGAGGTAAGGAGGAAAAGGTTTAGATCCTAGCTGCGAAGACAATCCCGACGTCTTCATCAACAAAGATGATCTAGGGCAGCTGCACAAAAGAGTTAGGAATATATATATAATGGATATTTATATATTGGCCAACTACCCAAAGGCTAAAGTGTTTTTTAGGCCTGTTTGCGATTTTGAAAAAAAATAATTCCGACCACCGTATTTGGTGGTCGGAAAATGAGATTAATTTAAAAATTTAGAGAAATTTTTCCGGTCACAATATAAATAGTGGTCTAGATTGCCGACCACTTAGTAAAGATGGTCGGAAACTTCGACCACTTTCCGACTACCATAGTACTCCGACGGAAAAATGAAAAAAAAAAACAATTTTTGCGATAAAATTTTTAGGTTGTCGGTAAAGAGGTCGGAAAATTGATAATTTTCAGCAGTGAACCTTAGTTTCAGGATTGTATAATTTATAAGCCTTTGAAGCGTCACTATAACCAATGAATATGCACTTCTCACCTTTATCATCCAACTTCTTTCTCAACGGATCTGGCACATGTGCATATGCCAAACAACCAAAAACCTTGAGATATTTGATGGAGGGTTTTCTCCCACTCCAAGTTTCTTCGGGTGTCTTATCACGGACAGTTTTAGTTAGACACCTATTCAACACATAGACAGCACAAGCAACAGCTTCTGCCCAAAAAGGATTAGGCAGATTCTTAGATTTCAACATGCACCTCACCATATCCATGATAGACCTATTCTTCCTCTCAGCCACTCCGTTTTGTTGTGGAGTGTATCTAGCTGTCATTTGGTGCTGAATACCCTTTTCTTTCAGAAAATCATCACATGCAATATATTCTGTACCTCTATCAGTTCTCAAGATTTTAATTTCATAACCACTCTGCTTTTCAACAAAAGCCTTAGATTGTTTGAAAACATCACATGCTTCAGACTTTTGCTTCAGAAAGTAAACCCATGTTTTCCTACTGAAATCATCAATGAAAGTAATAAAGTACATACAACCTCCATGTGAGGGAACCTCCAACGAACACAGGTCTGAATGAATAATCTCCAACTGTTTTGTGGCTCTCCTTGACTTGCCCACAGGAAAGGGATCTCTATGCTTCTTCCCAATCACACAAATCTCACATATATGATCTGGGACATTCACAACAGGTAAGTCAGAAACAAGTTCCTTTCTCGCAAGATAGTGTAATCCAGAGAAATGAAAATGCCCAAATCGCATATGCCATAACCAATTATCATCACAAACTTCAGAATTAAAGCAAGCAAGGAGAGTATGCTTAATTTTCAAAGGAAATAGTCGATTTTGGGACATATTTACCTTTGCAATCAAAACTCCCTTAGCATCTGCAATGGTACAACACCCCTGAGCAATATCTATCTTATATCCTTTTTCTGACAACTGACCCATACTCAACAAATTTTGATGTAGTTCAAGAACATAGAACACGTCAGATATAAAATTGTGAGTACCATCCTTCAACTGAATAGAGATTTTACCTTTTCCCAAAATTGGCACCTTTGACTTATTGCCAAATGTCACTTCAGATCGGACTGATTCATCCAGTTCAGAAAACAATTCTTGCTTCCCACACATATGGTTACTACACCCAGTATCCAAGAATCATATGTTTTTATCTGCAGAAAAACTATCACTGGCTAAAAGTAAAGTTTCAGAACTCTCACCAGACTTTTCAGCAATGTTTTCAGCAATGTTTGCTTGATTTCCACGATTGTTGTCCTCATTATACCAACAATCTGCAATCTTGTGCCCATACTTGCCACAATTGTAGCAATGAAATGGAAATTTACCTTGTGTGGTATTACCTCCACCTCTTCCTTGGTTGGAGTTACCATGTCATCCTCCTTGATTGAAGTTACCACGACCTCTTCCACTAGAACCTCCTCTTCCTCTTCCACGACCTCTACCAGATCCTCCACCTCTTTGATTAGTGCCAGTCACATTAAGGGTGACTTGGCTCTTCAAAGCTTCTTCTGCTAGTGGTTCCGATTTTGACTCAATCCTGTCAATATGACTTTCTACCATACCTTTCAGCTCTGCAATTGATAAGAGCTCAGTTTTGTGTGACTCTGTGATCGAAGTCACGACATGGTCATACTTCATCGGCATAGTTCGAAGAACTTTTTCAACCACTGCACCATCTTCAATCGTATCTCCGTATAACCTCATCTTATTCACCATATCAATAAGACGAGTGAAATACGCATCTACCATTTCTGTAGAGGTCATCTCACAATTATCGTACAACCTTCTCAACGACTGCAACTTAGACTTCTGCGCCTGATCAACTCCTTTGTGTGACACCTTTAAGAAGTCCCAAGCTTGTTTTACTGTTTGAGCACGAGCTAATTGCCCAAAAATGGAATAATGAACACCTTGGTGAATCTGACCCAAGGCCAATTTATCTCGCCGTATAGCGCCTGCTTCATCTCCTTCTTGTAGACCGGGATCAACAAAGCTCCAAAGATTTTGAGCTTGCAAATGTGTGGACATCATAATTTACCAATAATTGTAATCGAGTTTCCCGTCCAATTTGGGACCCGACCATACAATATTGAAATTTGTTGTCATATTTCACTACGGAAAATATTTCGGGGTTGAAAGGTTGACTGGCTCTGATACCAAATGTTAGATATATTAAATATAATATAATATATCTATAATATATATTAAATATAATATATCTATATATTATATTTATATATATTGAGAAGAGAGAGAGAAAGGAATAGATAAGTGATTTAATTGATGATTTAAAATGCCTGAATACAAAGACTATTTATACTAAACAACAAAACTAACAAAGTATAAATTTAGGGAAGTAATAAAGCTCCCCATGTACCACATAGCTTTCATGTAATGCTGCCACATTCCCATTACACAACTCCACTAACTGCTCCTTATTCCCATTTACTTGGTTTAATAATAATTATAATAATAATATTATAACATTAACACTGTTGGTGTATTCTGGAATTCCGCCGCACGGGAAGACCCCGCAGCATTTGAACTTTATTATATATATATATATATATATATATATATATATATATATATATATATATGTTCGGGTTCTGGTGCGCTTGGCACTATTAGGTGCGGATGTGCGGTTGTAAGGCTGCTGTTCGTTTTTAATGAGTTAAAATATCTTCACCGTTGATCTCAAAGATCTAAATTCGCGTACTTTTCTTGTATTCGCGTACTGAGGGACAAATTAGTAATTTTGAATAAATTAACTTTCATCGCTCTTCTCTATCGTCGTTCGCATTGCCGTCGACTTTGTTTTTGTTTTTCAAAGAATCGTTCAGTTATCTATCTTCTCTTAGTCGTTTAGCATTGCGGTGTCCATTGTTGTTGTTTCCAAATCTTTTTCCATTCTCTGTCGCTATATAGTATTTATTTGTCGTGGATCTACATTTGTTCTTTTTCATCTCAGAAAACTGATCTAGTTTATTTGGTTATGAAAATGGAGCACGTTAAGTTATATTTTTGAAGCACACTGCGTAATACGTGCACGCATAGTAAGTGTTAGACGGACCGACGCTCATTAAAGATATATGAGACGCATATTAAAGAGATCTGGCACGCATATTAAAGGGATATGAGACGCATATTAAAGAGTTATGAGAGATGATTTATTTTAATTGGTACTCAACTGAACGCACATCAAGATTTGAGGTCCCGCATGTTGTACTTTAATAACTCGCATTTAATGGTGAATTTGAACGCACATTAATTTATTTGAATTTGTATTTTTTTTATATTTGTTTTTAATAATTATTATTTTCCATGTTATTTTAGTATGCAAATGAACGCACAGTAAGATATGAACTTACGCAAGTTGTAATGTAATTTTTAATACCGAATATCAACACATATTAACTTTGGTTTATAAACATGTTAAGAGTTTTCATGTTTATTTTTTTTCTTTATTTTATTTCAATTACTTATTTATGACGAAAATGGAAGCACATTAAATTTTTTAAAAAGCACGTTCAATGCTAAGTGGACGCGTATTATGATTATCAATTATATTAATTAATAAGGTGATTGTTAATATGCGTCCATGCCACATATAAGTTGCGTGAAAATATATATTAATGTGTTTGAAAACCAAAGGAGTTTATATCAAGATGCTGAACTACTGTAATGTCATAAAACCTTTAACACTAAAAAATATTCACTATTTTTCGTCTTTAATACCAGCCTTTTCCATGTTTTTTCGAGACAGTTCATTGATTTCCGCAGTTAAAATTGCTGTTATGTATTTGACCTTGAGGTCTGCAAGATCTGCTTGTTTATTTTTACTGCTGTCGCTTTGAAAACCAGTCACTCCATCTCCCATGTATGTTTGAATGATGCACATTGTAAATACACCAGAATCATCTTTCTTCTCAGTATCACTCCATTGCATTAGCATTCACTCAGGTGTAATCTTTTTAAGTCTGTTTGCAACACTGTATGAATACCTTTGGTTCAAATATCTCACAAATTAGTCTTTCTGCAGATAAATAGAAAAGCATTAAAAACAAGAAAAACTACACTTCATAAAATGTTTTAAAATGTGTGACTTAATACTCACCAAAAGAAATGGTATATCACCATATTTGGCAATACCAGCACCATCAGCAGAAGAGTTGTCAAGTATGTGTATAGATTTGTGATAAACATCCAAATCAATGGAGATGACATATATTTGATCAGTTGCAATGACTGGGAAAAAGAACTGCATTTTGTACATGTTAGTTCGAAGAAGTTATAAATTGAAATGTAATGTAAGTATGTAGAATTTAATTTACCAAACGAGAGTTTGTAGGGTCACCAGTAGCAGTGTCAATGTCATGATTAACACTTTCTTGAAACTTTTCATACAGTTGATCAGTACTGTATGCAGGTGGTTTATACACAATAGAAGATGCCTACAGGAGTATGATAATCTT